TCAAGATTTGGCCGCAATCCGTAAACTTCTCCTTAACACCTGCGGCTCACTCTGACCTTCACCGAGTGTGTTATCAGCCACATTCCGTTCCCATGAGAACAAGGGTTTCTCTCTAGCTACAGACTGTGGCTGAGAAAACTGAGAAATCTGAAATCCCACACCTGCATCTGTATTCCCATTCCCATCATGCCCACTTGCACTCTCAGTCCCATCATGCTGTTGCTGAACCACAACACTTTGTGTGTCTTTGACAGTGGTTTCAGGCTTTTAAAATAAGCCTGTGCTCTGGAACAGTCTACACAGGGGGATGGGAAGGAAGTCACATGTTTTCCATGGTTGCAGGGATATACAGTCATGCGAAGTTGTGCATTTTGGGGGACAGAATCAGGTTTTAAGTGCACCTTTTTAACACGTGCTTTTCAGCTGCTAACCCAATTTTTGTTGGCAGCTGAAATGCTGTTCCCCAAACACTTTCTCCAAACATCATTTAGCCACTCACCCACTCCTTTTTAATTCTGGTTACTTCTGAGTTTTACTTTATGTGTAGAAGGGCCCTTAGAATATCAGAATATCCCACATTTATCTTTTTTCTTCACATAGGTGTTTGGTTGGAGAGGGGAACTTGGTGCAGGAAGCTATTGGTTAATCCCTTTTACCACAGGATGTAGGTTCAAAAAAGTGAAAAAGGAAATAAGAGGAGAAGCCAAACTCATATATAGAGATGGCAGCAGAAAGTTGGAACTTACTGAAGAGTTCAGGTAAGGCAAGCCAAGTTTTGTGAAAATTTCCAGTCTTGATCTTCATACTTTTCATATTTATTGCCCAAAAACAGTCTCTTGTATTGATGAGTCTCACAAATGAAATGACGATGACAGCAAATGATCTATTGGACTCTTTTGCTTCCCCATCTTTTCAGAGCTGTCTTATCAGAAATATTTGAAATGATTGATTTGGATGGAAATGGCTTCATCAGCCTGGAAGAATACAACTTCTTTGAAATGAGAACCAGTGGTGAGAAATGTGATGAAAACACTTGGGCCATGTGCAAAGGTAAAATTGAAATTTATCTATATGTAGATACATCCTCATTAAACTGAAAGACTGCAGCTGAATATGCAAATACTATTTAGATAACTGAATATCTGATTAAACAGAAATGCTGATTCCATAGTATATTAACAAGGAAAAGGCAATGTGGAAGGAAGGTGACACAGACATTTATAATTTAATTTTCAATTAACTGCTTATGTGGTTTAAACATATTCAATACACCATATAATATTTAATTAAAATGTATCAACTGTATCATACATTTATGTATCAATATAACTCAATATCTCAAGCAGACTGTGGCAGATACTCCTGAATGTGCAGTTGCTTTGTGCCATTGTTACTACTTTTTATTTCTTCACACATTCATTTCTTTTCCTTCTCATCATTAGATTCCACCTCTGTAGTATCAAAGGCAGCTCTTTTAGTCCCCTGGCTGTCATTTTCATTCCCTCTTCAGGCAGCTCCATTTCCTTTTGCTTTATTTTGCTACTGCCTGAGGTCAGACTGTCAGATGTCCTTAATGGGGTGTTGTGTTAGAGGATAACAAAAAAGGGGGGAAAGATCAGCCCTTCCATTGCTTTATCTTCTCAATGGGCTCTGCTCCTGCAGTTTCTGTAAATCTCATATCAGACGTGGGTAGCATTTTATGGGGCCATTTTATTCCACAATAAAGATATAGTTGTATTCATTTACTGTAGGGGATCTAAATGCCTATTTTCCTATAGTAAGGTTTCTTTGTCATTTTGTAACCATTCAAGCAGCAGTCCTTTGTTAATGAGAAAATCTTGGGGGTTTTTTTCCTCCCAGTTAGTACATCTTTTTTATCATTTGAAATGCCTTCTGGAGTTCATGTCATGGACATTTGTTAAATGTTCATGACATCAGCAGTTGTGCTTGCTATGTCTCCCTTCTTTTTTCTTGCTATTTGGGGAAGGCAAATTTTAGGTTATTTTTTATTTCTAGTTCATATACAGGCAGGTATACAGCAAAGGCAAATTTGTACAGTCTTTAAAAATGGCGGGGCTCTTTCCATGGTCTTTGGTGCCATCCCTTGCTCTTTGGAGTCATCCCTTAGTTATTTTCTAAAATACTATTTGAAGTCCAGCACTGCTAAAATACTATACAAAGTCCCTCGTCTGTTTGACTGTTAGCACTGATAGCTCTTCTTCTGTTTTATTTGGAGGGACCTTTTATCATGTAGTTTTTGTTTTTGATCTCAAGTTGTCTTCTGATGTTATTCCTATAGAGAAAAATGAATGCATCACTTTTCTGTATATGTATGTATGTATTTTTACCCTGCTCTATCTCAACCCCCAAGGGGACTCAGAATGGCTTCCAAATTGGCAATAGTTTAATGCCACATTAACATAAGACAAAGAAAATACAATATATATTGTATGTTAAATCATGAAAATCATAAAACACTAACATATAAATACATAAACAAGCTGTTAAAAGATTATACATAGACTAAACATTATAATCTAGAAGCCGTTCCAATCACATTGCCATTCATTTTGTAGCTGTATATAACCCTGTGCAGCTCTCCAAACGCTTGGTTCCATAGCCAGGTTTTAACTTGTTTTCTAAAGGATAGGAAGAAGGGGGCTAATCTAATTTCACTGGTAAGGGAGCTCCACAGCTGAGGGGCCACCACTGAGAAGGCGCTTTCCCTCACCCACATCAGCTGCACCTGTGAAGAAGGTGGGACAGAGAGCAGCCCCCCTCCCGCCAGTAGATCTTATCGCCCGGAATGGTTCATAGGGGGAGATGCATTCAAACAGGTAAGCTGGGCCAGAACCATTTAGGGCTTTATAGGCTAAAGCCAGCACTTTGAATTGTGCTCGGTAGCAAATTCATTTTTAAAGTGAATTCTAAGGTTTCATGTCTCCCTAAAAAACTGGACATACCTAACTGGATTCACATCTACACTTTAAAATTAGAACGGTTTGACACCACTTTTTCTCAATGCTGTGGAGTCATAGGAGTTGTAGTTTAGTGAGGCACCAGCTCTATTTGGCAAAGGCTAAAGCCCTTATAAAACTACAACTCCCATGATCCCATAACACTGAGCCAAGGCAGTTAAAGTGGTGTCAAGGCATTAATTCTCTAGTGTAGATGAACCTAACTGTGGGTTGTGTTCTGGCTCAGGGAGCATTGTGCAGATTGAGCCCTCCTTTTCCTCTCCAGCCATTAGTATTTACCCCAAAAGTATAAGTTTGAGCTTTTGGGGGCAGAGTGGAGAAAGGTGAGGTATGAAAGGTGATAATAAAAACAAATAGTGTTTCCCCTTTTTATTTGGTCTTCATTATCACATATTAGGGGAAACAGGATAGTAATACATTCTGACTTATATGGATGTCAGGCAGATGAATTTATTAATTATTATTATTATATAAAAAATTACAGCACATAAAATGGATCCAACATTTGGATAAGACTATAAAAGCCTCACTAGAAATTTAAAGATCTGCAGTGCTTTCTTAATTCTGGCATAAATATTCACTATTTGATAGATTCTGTCCCATATTGTTCTGAAAAAATATTCAGGACTTCTCAGGCACATTTTAATATAATGCCATGCATCCACAAAGAATAGCGTGACTAAGTCTGTGCCTGAGGAAGAATGAAACTGAAGGGAGTTCCAAAAGCAGTTTGTGCTATGGCATCAAAGTCTGTTGTTCAAAGAGGCAAAAGTCAAACTCCCCCTGGAAATGCCCAAGTCCTTATTTCCAACTTGGCTTTACAGAGCAAGTCGTCCTTTGTTTCACATGTTCTGGAACAAACATAACAGTCAACATATATTTATATGCTTGTCAGAAGGAAGCAACTGAGAAAGCTGTAAATGGATTACAGGGCAATTAATCAGCTGGAGGGTTCAAATGGACACCATAAATCTTCAGAACAAAGTGCAAGCAGTTTATATTAGCCCCTGAACCTTAAGACTGATAAACTGGTAATCTCTTCTTAAATAACATAAAGCACAGATTTAGTATTGTTATGGAGATGAGAAAACAATTTTCAATTTTCTGCAAAGCGAGAATGTTTCAATTGCTTACAGAAACCAGTGTAGTTCATTAGCTGCAATGGGAACATCTGAGTGTTAGTTGAGATATATTGCTTTTCATAAATTGTACTATTCTAAGATGTAGAACTGAGCAGCTTTCGCAGCATAAAAGGCTTGCTCAATAATGAAACTGAATGTTATAATCTCTAGAATTATATAGATACATTTTTGTTTGTCAAATCAAGGATTATTTCCTGAGAAGTTTTCTGTGCTGTGTTCCTTTCCTTTTCAATATCTTCTTATTCCAATGATTTGTTTAAAAAGAGGACATTAGTTCTTAACGAGAAACTAGGAGAAAAACTTAATTATGCTCTAACAGATTAATACTAGGTTGAAATACTTCCTACAGCTGCAGTATATGGTGCCTTAGCATTCATTTGTTGTTGTTGTTGTCATTGTTGTTATATTTATTTATACCCCACTTTATCTCTCCTGAAGGAGACTTGAAGTGGCTTAACATAAAAGCATTAGTATACCATTTAAATATACCAATATGTAAACATTAAAACAGGATTATAATATAAATAATTCAATCTCTAATGATGGTTCCTACCGTCCCAAAAAGTGGTGATCAGGCCCCTTCAGCCAAGGTTTTTCAGAGCTATTTTGCAGACAAGATCTCGCTACTTTGCCGGGACCTCCCCGCCACAAGTGATACAGTGAGAGAACTTGAGACTCCGTGGCCACTTGCTGGACTCATCCTCGACCGGTTCATCCCGTTGGACGCAGGGGCTGTCGATAGGCTCATAGCTGCAGCTAGACCGACCACTTGCTCCCTCGATCCGTGTCCCTCTTGGTTGGTGAAATCCTGCTTGGAGGGATTACGTGACCCTCTGTTGAAGATTATAAACAGCTCCCTTGAGCAAGGAGTTTTTCCAGAGGGTTTAAAAGAGGCCAGACTTAGATTGTTCGGTTCCCTCCAGTTACCGCCCAGTTTCAAATCTCTCGTTCCTGGGCAAGGTGATTGAGAGGGCAGCAGCGGAGCAGTTGCAGCAATTCCTAGACGACACAGCCGGACTAGATCCCTTCCAGTCCGGCTTCCGTGCGGGGCACGGGACAGAGACTGTGCTGGTCTCCATCACGGATCACCTTCGATGCCAGCTTGACCAGGGCGGGTCAGCGCTGCTTGTGTTATTGGATCTCACAGCAGCATTTGACACAGTCGACCACAATCTTTTGCCCCACCGCCTTGCTGCTGTTGGAGTCAGAGGAACAGCTTTAAATTGGCTGTCCTCCTTTCTTCACAACCGTGGACAGCGAGTGGAGAGGGGAGGCCTGGTCTCTGAGAGGTCCCCTCTATCTTGTGGGGTTCCTCAGGGGGCCATTCTCTCCCCTCTGTTGTTTAACATCTATATGCGACCACTTGCTCAGCTGGTTCGAGGTTTTGGGCTTGAGTGTTATCAGTATGCTGATGACACTCAGCTGGTGCTGAAGATGGAAGGCCAACCGGACTCTATACCCGATTATTTCCATCAGTGCCTCGAGGCCGTTACTGGATGGCTGCGTGCCAGTAGGTTGAGGGCGAATCCAGCAAAGACGGAGATCCTATGGCTGGGTCAACCGGGCAGTGGGGATATCCAGCTGCCTACCCTAGATGGCGAGGCGCTACGCCCGTCATCATTGGTAAAGTGTCTGGGAGTCCTTTTGGACCCCCTGCTGACGATGGAGGCCCAGGTCTGCGCCATTAGCAGAACCGCCTTTTTTCATCTGCGGCAGGCTAGACGTCCCCTACCTGTCCAGGGACGACCTAGCTACGGTGATCCAGGCTACTGTCATCTCAAGACTGGACTACTGTAACGCCCTCTACATTGGCCTTTCTCTGTCGGTGATCCAGAAGCTCGAGTTGGTACAAAATGCAGCTGCTTGGCTTCTTGCAGGAATTCCGATGAGATGCCACATAACACCAATCTTACTGCAGCTGCATAGGTTACCAATTGAGCACTTTCAAAGTGATGGTACTCACCTTTAAGGCCTTGCATGGTCTGGGGCTGATGTACCTGAGGGACCGCCTCACCCCCTACCAATCCCAGAGATCCCTCCGTTCTGAGGACCAAGATCTATTGGAAATTCCCAGTGTCAAGACCTTGCGTCTAACAGCAACCAGACACAGAGCCTTTACAGCAGTGGCACCATCACTATGGAATACCCTGCCACCTGAAGTCCGTGCCTTGTGGGACTTCTCAGCTTTCCACAGGGCATGTAAGACATATTTGTTTCGATAGGCCTTTGATTTTTGATATTGCTGTTTTTAAATTGTTTTTAAATTGTTTTTAAATTGTGTTAGATTTTAGCCATTCTTGTAAGCCGCTCCGAGCCCCAGGGGAGTGGCGGCATATAATTTTGAATAATAAATAAATAAATAATAAAAAACCAGTAAAAAAACATTAAAACATTAAAAACCACAGTACCCTCTGATTTGTTCTTTAAAACCTTCATCTTTAAAAGCCTGTCTGAATAGAAAGGGTTTAGCCAACTGCCGGAAGGACGTCAGGGAGGGCTTCTCTGAGCAGGGAGTTCTAGAGCTGAGGGGTAGCCACTGAGAAGGAAGGCCCACTCTCTAGTTTCCACCAACCAAGTTTGAGATGAAGGTGGGACTGAGAGAAGGGTCTCTCTTTAAGATCTCAGAGCTTGGGCAGGTTCGTCCAAGAGGATGCAGTCAGCTTTGTACAACAGTACATAGAAATTGGAAATACTATGGCTTGGACAATACTAACTTTAGTATTCAATGAGATACTAAAGGTCTTGTCTAGTTCCTTCATAATTGCTTTTCCAAGTCGTAGTCATCCTCTGATCTCTTGACAGCAGTGTCCATTCTAATTAGTAAGTGAACCAAAGTATGAAAAATCTTCAACTATTTCACTGTCTTCATTTTGTTCCTAATACCAGAAGACTATCCATCTGTATATCAGGTGCTGGAGAGCCTGAGATGAAGAGTGTAATTGTACTCATGCCTTTCATAGGCAACTGACTGATCACTAAGTAAATAAGCTAGAGCACAAGATGGGCATTGGGTCCTGGCCAGCATACCTTTTCTTATGTTCTTAAGGAGTAATATCTAAATTCTTAACATTTGTTTTTGATACAGTAAAGGACACTTTTACTTATTTCCAATGTTGCCATACATTATCTACTTTTTATTTTCGTTTAATTAGAGAATTTTGAAATGAAGAATGATGAACTCACAAAACAAGGATTTATGGATCTGAATCTCATGGAAGCTAATGAACAAAGCAGAGAACTTAGTATCCTCTGGAATACTTTGCTGTCAATGGGCTATAACAGAGCAATGGAGTTGGTGGAGGTATGAGAGATAATTGTGTAAAATAATTGTTTTAAAATCATTAGTTACTAGCAAGGCTGTAGCCGGGGGGGGGGGGTTCTAACCCTCCCCAAACCTGGTTTACGCAAGAATTTTAACTGGTTAATCAAGTTATGAGTAAACAGGTTTCTTTTTTAACCTGACACATTTCAGGGCAGGCTTGAACTTTCACCGCATTTTCTGTCTCTGTGATAACAGATTTTTGATAATTTGGCTTGTTGAGGAAACAAGGCAAGGATTGGTGAGAAAGTTTCAGTAGAGACACCTTTTTCCCATGATAATGTTTTCAGGAGTGAATTTCCCTTCCTGGAGGTAGATTTCTCTCATTTCCTGTTGTCTCACCCCCTTTTGTAACTAGAAGTTGTATGTTAGTGGAATGTTTGTAACTTGGGGACAGCCTGTAAATCATTTTTGAAGTAGTAGACAAGGATATTGCAGGGAAGTGGGTCATTACTAATCATAATGTGATAGTGAGTACAGTATATGGAATTATTTTCCTCTTCTTTCTCTATAGGCATGTCCTTTTTCTATTCACATCTATGCAGAAAAATGTAAGCCCCAAATTATGCCAGTTTGTTTGGAAACCGGTGGAGAACAGCTTAAGAATGCCATCTGTGTGAGTGTTGTTAATAAAGGAGATGCCAAGCCAATGGATCGCAATGAAAATATCATTATCCATACATACAAAAGTGATACACGTATCACAGCTGTTATTGAAAACAAGGTATAATGCATATAATGGGTTCAGTGTTTGTCAAAGCTTTTTATTTTACATTTTTATTTTTATGTGTATGTTTGTGTGTCAGGCTGGGAATTCACAGTTTGGGGACACAGATGCTAGTGATTCAAACTGCTAATTGAAGCAAGCAGATCATATTAACTAGGCAGAGGCCAAACAAAAAACAAAAACAAAACACCCCACCCTAGAATTTAATATACAAAACCGATTTAGCTATTCCTATAGTTCATCTCCCTATGTGTATTAAATTTTTCTGTTTTCTACTGAAGCTGAAAGTCAATGTACATGGTAGTTCAGCTATAGAACTCCAACCGTAAAATCTCCAACATTACCATGGGTTCCTTTTGCTGAGCATAATATTTCTGTGTTGAAATCTGATCCATAAACCTGGGTTGGTCTTTATTGTTTTCCTTTAAAAAAAAAAGAAAAGATGGATCGACTTACCTTCCATAAATTTAGTAGTAATTAATAGTTATGTTTATGTGTTCCGTCTGGTCACATAAGGAGCATACCTAAATTACATGCAAATTCAAGCCAAGCTGGCAGGAAATAAATGATGGTCTTTGAGTATAAGAAAGGATCACATGAATCATCCTAATGAAAACTATTAGTTTCTTTTTTTCTGACTATTTTCTTCAATTGGGCCTCAATTTTTTGTAAGGGTTAGAATTGTAGGATCCCCACAGCTGTGGTATGTGTGTGTATGTGATTGGGATAGATAGATAGATAGATAGATAGATAGATAGATAGATAGATAGATAGATAGATAGACAGACAGATAGAAGAACACTTCTCTAGAAATCTCTAGGTTCTCCTAGGTGGTTGTAATATTTCCAAGAGATAGTCATTCCTTATTAATCTCACTTTTTCATGTGTTGTTATTAAAATGTATCAAATATGAATTGTGCTGATAGTTGTTTCTAAATATCTTGATACTAATATTACTTTTCTCTTAATAGTCTGAAAGCAAAGCACTCATCCATCTCAATAGTGAGCAAAGTAAGAACTGCGTAAATAATAGAGGACTCAATACTTTTGCTGTTGAAGTGGCACCCAAATCCATGATGGTAATTGTGTATTTATTTAAAATAAATTTGTTTAAAATACTTATATTTCACCATTTGCCAGGGTAGAAACAGCTTACAAGACAACTCTGAAAATAATAATAATAATAATAATAATAATAATAATAATAATACCTTTATTTTTATATCCCGCCACCATCTCTCCAAAGGAACTCAGGGTGGTTTACATGGGGACCACGCTCACCATAAACAAGGAATTGAAAGTTACTTAATTAAAAATTTTAAAAACTTAAATCAGAAAAATAAAACATCAGAAAACATATAAATCAACATCAACTCCCTGTAACCGGAAAAAGTGGGCATGTTCTGATTCAAGATGGCAGGGCAAGGCTTGTGCAAAATGCAGAACAATAGGGCTGGGGCTGGAAGTAAAGTGCTGGAAAAAAAAACCCAAAACAAGAATTAGGGCTAGGTGGGCCTGATCGGAAGCTAAACCATTATTCAAAGGCACATTGGAACATCCCAGTTTTCAAGTCTTTATGGAAAGTGGACAGAGAGGGGCTATACAGTATATCCTAAACGAACCAACAATAAGTTAATGTTTTAAAAAGCTATTCATCTATATAAATAAAAATTTAATGTTCGTTTGTGGGATTAACATAACTCAAAAAACCACTGGGCTAATTGACACCAAATTTGGACACAATACACCGATCAGGACAACTAGTGACCATCACTCATAAAGACACTGAAAAACGCAACAGAAGAAACCTAAAAAGCCAAAAAACAAAAAAATACATTGCGACACATACACATAACCACATAAATACACATATACACATATTTATTTATTTATTTCGGTTGCTTCTACCCCGCCCTTCTCACCCCGGAGGGGACTCAGGGCGGCTTACAAAAGCAAGGCACAATTCAATGCCCGCATCTCATAACAGCAGTAGGACAAATAACATCAGTTAACAGAAAACAGCAATTCTAGCGATAACATCAATTAACAGAAAACAATAATTATTGTAAGGCAAAAACAACCATAAAACCAATAAAAGCAATAAAACCAATACAAACCATTTCTCCTCATTGATGTACACACACAAAACGCATATACACAGACTGGGCCACAGCAATGCATGGCAGGGGAAAGCTAGTTAAATATAAAATGTTAACAATCAATTTTCATTCACCATGGGACAGAGGAATGAGAGAGGCAGATATTATTTACATTTAAAGGATCAATTTTTGAAATGTTGTTAGTGCAAGTTTCTAAATTTGTCATTTCTTCAGAGTTTAGGTTTTTCAGTATCTCTAGAATTTAATAACAACAACAACACATATTTTTATTACCCACCTCTCATTTCAGCTTGGTGTAAATGAATTAATCTTTAAAGATATGCATATGATAGTAATGTGCATGCAGCTCACAGCCTGCCATTCTACATATGGAAGATTGTTGTTATTGCCATCAAATCAGCTTCAATTTATGTTTATTGTATGAATGAAAAATCTCCAAAACACCATGTCATCATCCTGTTCAAATCCTGCGAACTCAGGGCTATGAGCTCCTTGATCATATCCAAGCCCATCCACATATAAAGCAATCTTCTTTTCCTGCTGCCTCCTACTTTGACAATCATTAATATCTTTTCTAAAGGGTCATATCATCTAATGATATAGCCAAAATACAATAGCCTCAGTTTCATCATTTTAGACTCCAGGAAGTGTTTAGATCCCATGTATTGGTCATTTTGACAATCCATTATATCTGTAGCTCTCCTGCCGCACCAAATGCTGCGGTATATATCAAATTGTTATGTTTTTCTAGTATATCTTTACTCAAAGGAAGAAATCAGTGAGCTTTTTTAAACCAGTAGATGATAGAATATAGTATATGTAAGAAGATGGTCCTTCTTTCTTTCTCTTCTTCTTCCTGAGCCTGCTGACAATCTGCAGTATATATTAAAACTAGGATGTTATTCAGTCTTTTTTTAAAACTGTGAAATGTTGTGAGGTATGTTATTAGCAACTCTTCCAACATACTCACAAGTAAATGTGAAAGGACCAGTAGTAGCAACATGCCATTGCAAGAGGACTTTTTCCTACTTTTTTTTTACACCAACACTAATTTTGTCTTTCTTCTACTGTATTAACTATTATCAAGTTATTGTATAGCTATACAGATTCATTTATGGTTTGTCTTCTTTAAAAGTGTTATACCTAGCCTGGGATAATATCTGAAAAACATAAAAAATAAAATAATGTTATAATTAATATATAATTAATATCATATAATTAATTTTATAATCAATATAAATATATAATTGAGTCACACTTCAAAAAATTATGGAAGACAGAAATGGCTATTTTCTCTTTTCTATATTTTATATGCAGGTTTGTCAGCACATAATGCCACTGAATGATAAAGAAGAATGGATATACAGTTGTATTTATTCTGCCCTGACTTAAGTTATTATGGTTAGAAACTGGCATTCTCCTGATTCATGAAGAAAGCTTCAGCTTCTGCTCTCCAACGTGAGGATGGTTTGAGTTATCTCATCATTTTTAAAACAGAAACACTCTTCCATATTTCGAATATCCTCATAATAGTTATGATTCTCGTTACCTTCAAATTTTTGACAGCATAAAATAACTGCTTGTTCTTACTTTTTTCCATTTATGGACAGCTTTGTATACACAAGTAGGTTTAAAGCTTTTTATCCTGGACATTCAAACAGGGGCAGTTAAAGGCTTAAAAACAGAGCATTGTTAATTTTGCTTGTTTGCAGAAACGTTTGTATAGAACAGTAAAAATGGAGAATTCATTCCACCATTGTCATATGCCAACTGAAATACTTGCAGGAACCTCAGCAAGTGAGAGTCCAAAAGTGGCAGGCTAAAACCCAAAACCTCAATCCATTGCTGATACCAAATGAGAGACTCAGTCAACTGAGCCGGTGAGCTTGTTGACCGAAAGGTTGCAGATTCGAATCTGGGGAGCGGCATGAGCTTCCACTGTCAGCCTCAGCTTCTGCCAACATAGCAGTTTGAAAACATGCAAATGTGAGTAACTCAATAGGTACTGCTCCGGGCGGGAAGGTAACGGCGCTCCTTGCAGTCATGCTGGCCGCATGACCTTGGAGGTGTCTATGAACAATGCCGGCTCTTCGGCTTAGAAATGGAGATGAGCACCACCCCCCAGAGTCAGACATGATTAGACTTAATGTCAGGAGAAAACTTTTACCTTTACCTACCTAACCTTTTATCTCTCAAAGAAAGCTTAAGACACATTGATGTGGAAAAAATCTCAAACTGTAATTGCCAGAATTCTTTAGAGAAATCTTTGGCATTTAAAAACTGTAACATGAACATGTGGTTTGAATGTTTCAATTTGCAATGCAAAATATTATTGCTGCAAAATAAAATGCAAATGAAAAAATAATCCACTTTTAATCTGCCGCTATGAGGGCACTTTGTACATTGGGCATTTTACTAATTCATTTAAATATATTAGTTTAAAGAATGGTACTACTGCTTATAATTTAAATGAGATATCAGATTTATATGACCTTGTCTAAGAAAGTGCAAGAAGTCTTAAAAGCTATATTTATCTTGCAGCCAGTCTTGTACTTGGACTTCTTCTACTGTAATAGGATGCCAGGCAAGCAAATGTCAGTTCTAAAATTAAAACCATGCTTAATACAGTATTAGTGCAGAGTCTGTCTGTGTAAGTCTGGCTGAAAAAGTTCCTACTGGTACATGTTTTTGGTATATGTGTATATGTACTCATGTGTATCTCTGTCTCCATACAAACACACAGTTAATATTAAACCTATTTAACACTTTGTTTTTACCCTTTCACACAACCTAAACTCCCAGCAGCAAGAGTACTTACAAAATAACCTTCTCCCATTTGAGCTTATCTAAAATATTTGCTTTGCATCTTTCTGCCAGATGTTCATGATTTAGTAAAGGCAGATGTGGCACTTCGAATTAGGGGCAGCAGGGGCACCAGAATGTTATACCTAGGTGTATCACTACTCTCTTTTTAAGCAGTAGAGAAGATACCGTTACTCCCATGGCATTTTCACAAGATTGTTTTTATCTGAATTTTACTCTGCCCTAGTTTTAAATAATTGCAATGTTATTTTGTATTACAGTTATAGTTTGCTTTTGTTTATATTTTTTCTAAACCACTTTGTACATATTTGTGCTTACAAATATACAATATTTTAGTTACCTCTATCTGATCACTTCTGTAAATGCAGATATCCAATTGCTACACATTTTGGCTTCATTATTAACCAGTCACTGTACTCAAAACAAATCATAAGATTTCGCTTTCTGTCAGCTTTCATCTCTTTCTAGCTTTCGGAACAACAGATGGAAACTGGAAAAAATGATGGCATGGATTATTGTGACTTCGGTACTTACATATTTTTTTTACATTTGAGAATCTTCCTGAAGTCATAGCTGCCCTTTCAAATATTCAGGTGCATCTACACTGCAGAATAATGCAGTTTGACACCACTTTAACAGTCCTGGCTCAATGCTGTTGAATAATAATAACTTTATTTTATATTCCACCCTATCTCCCCAAGGGGACTCACGTCAGATTCCAAGCAAATAATATTGGGAGCTGTCGTTTGCTGAGGCACCAGCACTCTTTGGCAGAGAACACTAAAGATTTTATAAAACCGGAACTCCCATGATTCCATGAGACCTACATAACTTTAGATTCTGCAACTTTCTCTGACTTTTGATCATGAACCTTTATATAGGAATGAGTGTGGCAATTTTTTTTTCTTGAGCTCTTGCCTACTTCCCTCAGTTAGGCCAATCACTCACTCGGCACACTTGAGAGCTGAAAGTCAACCTTCAGAGTTCATAGCTAGGAGCATACACAGAAATGCACAAGCTTCTGCCTCAATTGCCTTTGGGTCTCAATTGCCTTTTTCAGAGTCCTCATCTTCTAAGATGGCCTGTCATCCCTTGTAGGCAATAGGCAATTAGGAGTCATTTCCCTTAAATGATGGACTCCCAAATTCTCCTCCAAGTTCTTTCTTAAAGCCTTAACTATGAAACGGAAAATAATTTCAGTATCTGCTAGTTGGATTTGACTCAAAATTTATTACAAGTTATTAGAATGTACAAATTAAAAATCAACACAGATGTACAGTACAACTCATGTTTCACTTCCCTGCGCCCAGTAAAATACGTTCTCTAGAAATGTTCTAAATCTTGGCAGTTCTATGGCATGCTTTCTCCAAATGTTACCACAGAGTGGTCATGAAGGATGTAGGAAAATCTTAGAGAGGTATCCAGTAAAAGTTATTCATTTCAACAGGGTTTCCTGCGTCCATGATAAGTTCAGGAACATATTCTCTGGGAATAAAAGGGTTGTATTGTAGTCTTCTGCTATTGAACCTTACATCACTGTGCATCAGTTTTCCTGGATGTAGACTTTGAGACAGAATGTAATAGAACAGAAAAAGAATATTAGATCGCTAATCTTGACTTTTTAAAAAACTATAGGGGAATTCTTTAAATAATTTGCAGGTTTCAGAAAGCCCTTGCATATAAAACATACATCTCAAAACGAGAGGGAAATTTCTTTCAGTCACAATCTCTCACCAACTACTTGCAGATTCCAAGGATTTGAGAGTACCCTAGTTGAGAAACTGCTCTAGATTTAGACCAGGATGTTGGTCCAAGGATTACCTTTGTAACAAAGAGTAAATTGGTCAACACAATGTACCTATCATATTATGCACTTTATTTTCAATTACTGGGTGGCCTTGGGCAAGCCACATATTTTCAACCCCAGAAAACCCCATAATAAGGTTGACTTAGGGTCGGTGTAAGTCAGAAATTACTTGAAGTAACAGAACAACAACAAAAGCTGTATAACAGCAGTTGGATGCATCCACTATTACAAGCATCTCAAGGCAGGAAAGCCTTGTGCAAACTCAATAACATAGAATAGAGAATGCTTGGGATTCCATGACACAGATGTTAGGCAGAGTGGAACAACTATAGCATCTCTGGGTTTAGAAAGCATGCTCTTCTCTCTGATTGCTGATGCTTAGGAGGACGGACAAACTGGGATACCTGCAGGAGAACAAAAACTTGTCCTAATTCAATACCCAAACTATTTCAACCATTTCTGAAACTATAAACTCTTCGTACATTTTACTAATATAGGAAATAGTGCCAGATCAGAGCAGTTCAGATTTCCACTCAGGATCAAACAACCCAATATATTAAGTAGATCAGGTCTAGGTTAGTCTCTCTGCTTGGTTTTATTCTTTAGCCCGTGTGGCCCTTCCTCAATGGATTGTCACCTTGTCGTGGTGAGGGGGCTTGCGTGTTCCAATGAACCTGTGGGCATAACCACCAGTTATGCACTCCCGAGGAGGGGGGGGGGCAGGGAGGTTCCAGACCGAGCACAATCCAAAGACCTCAACAGCGGATGCAGCAGAAGATAACATGATACACGTTACAGCAACTGTGAAGGTGGAAGAAGGCTGCAACAGATTAAGAAGCCACTGTCATCATGTTAACTATGTCACTGGCTGGGACCCTCACTCTGTAGGTTGATCCACTGTGCACCGATCTCCACACATTAAAAAAACCTAATGCATAGGCATCTTACAAGAACTTGGAAGGCCATCCATACTTGGACAATGAGTCCACAAACTGGAACCCTCACGCACAAGTGGAGAAAGTTTACCCTCTCCCTACAATTCTGCATTTACCAAGATTGGTGACTGTTGGAATTCTTTTTCTGTTTAGCCTCTGGCTAAAAAGGCAGTTAAATCCAGAAGAAAAAATAGTTAGGAGGAGAGGTTTAAACCTTATCCACTTGTGTGCCATGGTCTTGACACAGGTCAGGCCCCACCTGTTTTGTTTTTATGTGCCTTTCAGCTTCTGGCAACCCTTTTCTAAGGTTTTTAAATTTTAATTTTGGCAAGCTTTATTATTTGACAAGAACTCTCAGAACTCCTGTAAGCTCAAAAAACTATTGGACCAGACACAGAAAGAGGGGTTAAATAAGAGCCACTTTATTTGACCTAATTTATTTAATTTGTGTCAAACCTAGAAAGGAACAAGGCAGAGGGGCAACCTTATGTAGGCCCAGCTGAAAACAGTTGTCGAGGGTAGATTATCTCCTCAGTGAAAGACTTAAGCCCTGAGGACAATCCAACAATTTTCCCAGTCAGCCATTTACTGGAAGGCAAACCCAGGACACCCCCACCAATGTCCCTGGACTCTACAAGAGAGAGCAAACAACCAGGTCAAAGATAGACTTCTTCCCTACTCACTAGGTCCCAGGATCTAAAGAGATAGTTCCAAAAGTCTATCTTCCATCAACAGGGTATTAAGGTATACAAAACCATGTTTTCTTCCACCGTTATCTGCCAGTAGCAGCCTATTTACAGGCACCACACTTAGCCATAACATCAAAGTCCTGCAGATGGGAGGATTGGCAAAACAAACAAACAACAGTTACAACAAATTCACACCCTCCTCACAGTGTTATCCACCATGCACACACAGGTATGCATTACTTCTTCTTTTGGGTAGAAAGAGGGTTCCTCAGGGAACAATGCACCCTCAATTATGGCACACCTAATACCTGCCCCTGCTCACCTCTGTTGAACCATGAACCTGGCTCTAGTACACGGAATCTTGAAGTATTTTAAACATATATTTTTTTAAAAAAACCCCAATCTTTCTATTTTTGCAATTTAAGAAAAATAAATTATTAATGATAAGAAATAACAATAATTTATATAGTGTAATCAGCATGACTGGTAATAGATTTCTGTCACAGCAAAGTTTCTGACACAGGACTAACAGTTGAGAAGAATTCGAAATTTGGGTTAACATAAATAATATACAGGTTGACTCAGTGGATTGTGTCATAGTTCAAACACTATACACATCACAAGCAAACAAACTGCTTCTCTAGCAGAAACTGTATTGTATATATCTATGTGTGACCATACGTATTTGTTAACAGTAAAGAGGGTACAGCTCAGGGGCTCCGTTTTGGCTCTGCAATCCAAAACTCAAGGCAGTAGACAAATAAAATCTTGGACTTTATCCATGATAGTTTACTACCTGACTTAATGATTAATATATTACCACTGTCTAGTTCTTTAGGTTCACATTCAAAATACAGGAATTGTTGGTACTTGAATTTATCCCACACTCCTGTTTATAGGGTTGCTATTCCTTAGTAGGGTTCACTTACTGAGTGGTATGAGTATGAGTAGAATTATTTGTGTTGGTTTTAGATAGAACTAAGATGGCACACCTTACATGACTAAGCAAACCACACTTGGGCATCAGATTAATTCTTCTGGCGCTATGTTTCTGAACAGACAATAGTTGGTAAGGTGGTTGAAAGCAGTAAGGCAAACTACCATTGCTTATAGTTTGAATACACAGTTCTTTTGTCCCATTATCTAGTAGTTGGAGAAACATGTTTTGCAGGTTTTGGAAGTACTGCTACCAGATTTTCAAAAGTTGATACCAGAATAGAAATATTGGCTAGAAAGCAGTAAGCAATAATTGCCTTGGGGTAAAACTTCTGCTCTCTGGGGTGAAATGCTATGGTTTTGCAGCTTTTAGCTCATGATAAGGAGTGTATGTCTTAATGTTTTGAAATTAATTTTACAGTACTCTGGACCAGTAG